AGATATTTGAGCCACACACAGACACACAGACAGAGATTTCTAGATAGATAGATAGATAGATAGATAGATGAGCAAGTATGGGGCAAAAGCCTGTCTTTGTCGATGCAAATGCTTTGAGATTACTGTGAAAGTATGGGTACTGAACTTGTGAATTAAATAAAACGTTTTTTCATGCCTTTGAGTGTTTGTATAAGATAAGATAAGATATTCCTTTAATAGTCCCACAATGGGGAAATTCCAAATGAATGTGTATACATGTCACATGCAAGCTTGATTGGCTGTTTTCCTCATTCAGTGTTTGTTGTGTGTGTGTTTTGTATTACAACGCAGCATCTTCTTTTACAGCACATAAAATGAGATTCGGTTTTAAGAAAAGAGAAGTTGAGGATATGACACTAAAATCTAATCCTCGTAGAGAACTTTTTCTTAAGAAGCAAGGAAACTAATTGTCTCTTCTTTCAAAACTTCTTTGCCTTTCTTTTTCTCCTCTAATTTTATATTCCACCCTTGTCATATGCTGTATGCTAACGAGGTGATGACCTCATCATCTGAGCACAGTGTCATTTTCTAGAGGACACCTCAAGACATAGAGGATGACATGAAACTTTACATCCTTTTCCCTCATTTTACCCCCGCTACTTTGATATTTGTCTCAGTATGTGTCCTTTTTGGGACAGTTAACATTAAGTCAACATCTGATGGAGTTTGCCAATTTGTTGTTTATTACAGTGGTGGTCCTGACTTTCATATAATGGATACTTTGGATCGCTTAAAAATTGGATAAGTGATTAGAAATGTGTGAGAACTAGGTCTCACACAGCAGAACACGTTGGGCTCCTAATTATAAGTCAGAACTGGCAGGTAGTGAAAAAGGGAGAGAGCTGAGTAGTTATTTTTTTGGGATAAGATCTCACTGCTAAACAGTACTGAAGCAGTACAATGTATATGAATATATTCAAGCCAAAGGGTTTAACCATTGTATTTTTAGAATTTAGAGGTTAGCTACCTCAACAAGACATTTAGTCTGGGAAATGAATCTTGTAATTTGTTCTTAGAAGTGAACAAATCTGCCTTGGGGTCATAACATTTCACATTTTTTAGTCCGATCTGATTTTAAACATTTTCCTGACACCATCTATGCATCAGTGGATTGCTATGCCTTACTCAGATATGCTTATTCCATGAAAATAATCCTTAATAGAGGAAAAATAAGATGCCAGACTAAATTACTTATTTAGACCTTGTGTAAATGCATTTACCACTTTATCTATGTGTCACTGTAGCTTTTCTGTACAACAACAATCCCTGAGGAACTGGATTTCTATTCTTTAACCATTACATGTTCCCCAAGGACCTCTGTGCCTGAGGAGATTGATTAAAATGTAAGCATGTTGGGAAAGAATGCACAAGCCGTATATTTACACTCATCCATTATCGCTGCTGGTGACAAGTTGGTCTTTCCTTCTTCTCTAACTTTTTTTCTCTTGTTGGTGGGTGTCATTGTTAAAGCAGGGGCAGTCCTGTCCTCTCTCAGCAATTATTCTATTGGTTTGATTAAACACACCAGATTACATTGCCTTTATTTGCCAGCTCTGAGCTCTGTTGCCTCAGCTGTAGAGTGAGTATATTAGATGGAAAAGTATGAATTATTAATTGTATAAACATAGAGGGGTGTAATTGTGTGGCCCTATCTCTCTCTGCTGTGGACTGATGTGGAAATGAGCTCCAGTCTGAGTCACTGAGATAATGACTGGGCTGTGGGAGGGAGAGAAAGGGGGAAGGGAGAAATATAGAGAAGAAGTAAAAGAAAACAGACATAGAGACAGAAAGAGTTGAAGAGGAGGAGGAGGAGGGTGAGAGCAGCTGTGAAGCTCTATGAAGCGTGCCACTCTGTGAAGACTTTTACATTTACCTCTGTGTGTCATCTGGAAAATCATTCATAAGGATGTATCAACATGTACCTGAATTAGAGGTTTACTTTCTCCTCTGTCTACAGCATGTGTGTGTGTGTGTACATCCCTCTATGTATAAGCAATCATGCATGCGAGAGTGCATGCACAGCAGCAGGTTTTTCTGTTTATCTTTGTGCATGTGTGTCTACCTCCTCTCCTGTTGAGCTTGGCATATCCGGGTGCATATCCATTGGAGAAGACGGACGAGCTGGTGAAGGCTGTGTGGGCCAGAGGGGATGCTAGAGCCTCATCGCACTTCTCTGTGGAGAGAGAAAGAAAATGAAGACCCAAGGAGAGAGAAATAGGAAAGACAGTACAGGAGTAGAGAAAGTAGAAAGTAGGAGAGAGGGAAAATGGGAGGGAGGAGGAGGGGAGTAAAAGAGAAAATTGTGACATTAGTATATTTTACATTAGATAATAGGTTCATGGAGTAGTTGAAGTAGTTCTCAGGAATTTGAAATTACAACACTGTTAATTAAATGTTAAATAAATTACTTCTAGGATAAGATCTCCTTCACTTAATTCAAGTACTCTTAGTGTAAAAATCTGAAGTCTTGTATTTTTCACATGGTTTCACTGCAAGTGCATTGTCTAAAGACATGCTCACAAGAGAGGGAACACAGGCATAGCTGGAGGTTGAGGGAAGTTGTTTGCGGGTCAAGAACCAAGTCAGGTCAGTCAGACTTCAACCACAGGTGCATTCAAAACATTGCTGAGTTCAGTGATAAGAGTGCACCACAATATATCCACCATAACAAGCAACCTGACTTTGACCATTTACAAATGCATACTTAAGTCGCTAACGTTAAAGAACACAAACCAGACCAGAAACCTTGTGTAGTCCTGGACCAAAATTTTAACATGCACATACGAGCAATTACAAAATCAATACTCTACTATCGCCGTCACAGTATCAAGAATGAAAGGACTCTTTGCAGTCCATGCATTTATCTTCAGTAGGCTCATCTACTGTAATGCTATCTTCACAGGTCTCTTTCTGTAAAGTATCAGATAGCTGCAGCTGATTCAGAAGGGTGCTGATAAAGTTGTCACTAAGACCAGGAGAATGGGTCATTCCAATTCTCAGAGCTTTACACTGGCTTCCTGTAAAAAGAAATGACTTCATATTATACTGTTGGTTTATAAATCAACTGTCCGGACCTCTCAGACTGTCTGGGAAAGGCATGTTTACTGTTGCTAGAGTCCAGAGAAGAAGATGAACAGGAAAGAGAAAAGAAAGAGAGGGGATGACATGCAGCACAGGGCCACAGGTCAGACTCAAACCCCTGGCGCTGCAGCAAGGACTCTGCCTTGGTACATGGGATGCCAACTCTACCAGGTGAGCAACCGAGCAAGGATTCAATTTCTATGCATCACATGTCTGGAAACAAACCCCCAGAAAATTCTCAGTTCTTTTAAATCAGTTAAATGTAATATATTGCACTGCACTGTAACTGCAATGTAATTGTTTCCTCTATTTTACTTTGTTTAAAACCTACATTTTTTATTACCATGTTTTATTTTATATCTTGTCTTAATTGTATCTTGTCTAAATTGTCTTATGCAAAACCCTTTGGATTGCCTTGTTGTTGAAAGGTGCAATACAAATAAATTAGCCTTGCTTTGCCTTGAGTCACACAGTAACCAACTACTGAACAAGTGAAATTCCATTTTTTGTGGAGACAGATTTTAGGTAAATTGTGCAAACCAAAGCCCTAAATTGTGTTTTTACTGATTTCTGGGGCAGTTTGGGGTATACACTTGTTTGTATACTGTGGTCATGTGTGATATGAGCACAAATGTGACTCTGGTTTTGTTATCAAGGTGCTGCACAATGTTTTTTCTTCTGTGTAACACTGTCTGTGCTGTCCTGTTTTCTTCTTCAACTCCTGTAGTACATTCATGGTTACCTCAATTTAATGCTAGAATGTTAAATGTTGGTTGTATAATAAAGGTTTAAAGGTGCTAATTTGTGCAAATCATTCATTACTTTAAAAAAGAGCAACCATTTTAATGGAAAACGTGACAGCTTTACAATGGCCCATTCCACAGCACATAACCCTGAATATAATCATGCATACGTGAGTCCAGATATACATTTCCACCTGGATGAACTCTGGACCCAGTGACATGAGGTAGACCAGCACTGTAGTGCTTTTCCAGTCCAAGCTGACCTCAATATAAACTCACAAGTTTATAGCACTCCAAAAAGAAATCCAAGAAAGCAACTACAGTGGTAGTACGAGACACGCAAAGGAAGCAAAAATCACCTTGGACAAATACACAAATATATATTCCTGACACACACACACACAGTCATAAAGTCATTTTCCTTCCTCTCTCTCAATTCGCCTTCTCACTCACTCATAGGCACAAACACAAGCACACTCTTTCAGTACATTAGGTTTCACGCAGAGAGAAATTGTGAATGGTCTGTCAGGCCAGGTAGAGGCAGTCAATAGCTCTCTGTCATGCCCCGCCATGTAAGTGTGTATGTGTGTGTGTTTGAGTGTGTATGAGATTTAGAAGAAAGAAAATAGTTTGTTCTTCTGTGCATGTGTGTACAGTATCTACGTGTGTCTGCAGTACACTGTGGGTGAAAGTCAAAGCCACGCTTGGGCTTTTGGCTTATTAGACATATTACTTTGTGTCACAGGTGGCCTTGCAGAGAAAAGAATACAATCACCAAAGCCTGATAATGTATGAGTGTCTGTGTATGTGTGTTTCTGTATGGAAAAGGGAAATGGTCTGTAGCCTCCCTCCTGGCATGTAAGTGAGGTCCATATGTCACGTCACTGCCTGTTTTGACAGGAGATGCATGCACTGACTTTATAAACACACACAAAAAGTAATGAGGTCTCTGGCACATTGACCTTGAACTAGCGCTAAAATCCACTAGCAAGCATTAGGTAGTTGGCTCTCCACCAGAAAGACATGAGCAATGATATACATTAGAGGGGAGTATGCAAAGAAATGCGGATAGGCAGTGTAATTTTACACTTGCACCCACTTGGTCTGTGGCTCCTAGCAGAAAGGCACATGTGCTTCTTATGGGAGAAAGCAGCCTGGCTCTCTTCTCTATTCTAACTGTTTGTATGCCATGCAAGGGAGTGCAATGCTTTTAACAAGGACTTAGACGAGCAGATGTCATTGGATGTGACTCATGCCGGAACACCTAGGGTAATGTGTTCCTCTCTCACTTTTTGCAACCGTGCCGTAAGTGCACCTCTCATGCAGCAGCACCTGGTCATGAAATTAAGAGAAATCTTTGGGTCATGCTTAAGTGTCTCAGAAATTATTCTTGGAGCACTGGTCCACAGAGACACTTGGACTGATGCAGTCATATACAGGCATCTTATTTATTCACACACACACACAGATGCAGTCATATACAGGCATCTTATTTATTCACACACACACACACACACACACACACACATTCACAGAGTGCCTTTCCTGCAGCTTCAGTCCCGAGAGTGGGGTTTCTCAATGACTTCCTCCAGCTGCTCATGAACATGCTTTGTCGGTCACACACACCCACACACACACATGTAAAGACATACAACTGCATAGAATAAGGGCTGGGAGGGAAGGAATGAATGGAATGGGAGAAGGGAGTCAATGGAGAGAGGGGTTTTTAAAAGGAATGGAGGTATGGAGAAAAATACAGAGCATTTCTTCAGTGCCTTAAGTTATTTCCTCAGAGCCCTCTTAACTCTGGGATGGGGGAAAAAACGCTACGTGAAAGGACTTTAGTGATCAGATAATAAAAAATGATACCTGTAATCAACCGGCTAATGCACCCATACAAAATATAAATGCTTTTGAAAATAATAATCACAATAATGTAGCATATCACTGACTGGATTATGTGTGAAAACATGCTTGGGTGAAAATATGTTTTGCCTGTGAAATCAGAAACCTCAATACACCCAGCTATTATCACATAAACCTCTTGATACTAGGGTTTACCAGTCTCTAATTGTGATAATGGCAATCCCTCCTGAGGCAGTGTTACCATATTACTGGATTTGTTTACAAAAAGACTGATTAGATTTAAAATATTTTGCTCTCATGCAGCTTGCATTGATTTTGCCACAGTACATGTGCATCAAGTACTCACTGCGCAGCATTGTCATTCTCCATACGCCTCTGTCTGAGCCTGTTTATTCTACATGCTGTTGTTACTGGTTGTGCTGTTTTAGTTTCCTAATATTAACACATATGATGGCATCTCTGACCCTTACCATGTGCATTGTATAGCATATTCAATATTTAAATGAAATGTTCGCTGGGCTCTCATTATACCCCGAGGGCAATCAATTTAACACCCAGTTCGATCTTTAGCATGCTGCCTGAATTCATGTGTGGACCAGTGGCAAACAGAGCTACAATATTTTTGCATAATAATGGATGACACATGAATATAAGTTGATTTTAGCATGTTAAGATTCGGTTTGGTTTTGGTTAAATTCAGATGCACTGGAAATGTTTCATTTTCATATGAAAACCTTCCGAACTATGTCTGTAGTTCGAATATATACAGCTATATAAAAGCAGGATTGCAGCTGGATTGCTTTGATGTACAATAGCCCATTATAATTCAAATTTGTTACATTACTCAAAGACGTGGGCAGGATCACAGTAATTTTCCCACAATGAAACTGAATTACTTCAAAACCTCAGCCGTTGACTGCTTCAGTACTGAGCTGTACTGTGTAACAATGTATAAATAGAGTGTACAAAGAGTCCATTGCACTGTCCTATTTTACTTATTTGGATTTTAAATGGAAACCTAGAGTCTAGCTTTAACAGACGAAACGAACAAGTGAGAAGTGACAGCAACTTAACACACTAACAAAGACTAGACATTTTGTGTTATGTACTAAAGGTCACGCACAATATATACTGAATTATAAGTGCGTTAAGATCCACACAATATTTACTAAAGGTTTTTCATTTTTAATCTGTATTAATAGGAATGTACATCTGGTCATGATAATGTGAGAAAAACAAAGAACCAAGGACCCAGCAGTGAAAAGGGAAAGGTTGGTTAATGTTGCAGTAAAGTCAACATATTGTGACATGAACAACATGGCCTCTTTCGTTGCTTTGGTACTCTACTCTATATAATGGGCTGCATTTCTTCAATATGTGTGTAAAACCAGCAAATGTTTATCTCGATTGTGTGTATTTCTAGACCTATGTTTATATATGTAAACTTGCAAAAAATAGAAACTACAATGCTAGAACTATATCTGTATCAGCAAACCCCAGTACCCTACTAAATGTCTGAGCTTTTAAAGCGGAATTTGGGTTAGGCTATGGTTTTGAAATGACTAGCAATAAATCTGACATTGTCTGTTTTCCCATTCTTAAGCATCTTCAAGGAAAGTACCTTCACCCACAATAGTAATACACCTAAGTGATTATGGCTTTGTGATGATTAAATAGCAGTACAGGGGTACACAGGTATACTGTGGGCAGCCTCTGTGCTTATCCTTGTTACTAATTAATCTCTGAAACAGATCTAGGATCATAACCATCAATAATTCACTGATACAGTATATCACAATGCCATCTGCTGCAACACACACTGTAATATAAAGGAAAAATAATCTGAAAATATATAAATTAAGTAATAAAATGAAGAGCCACATGCACACAAGGTACATGGTTAAAAAAACACCACACCTAGTGCATGCCTACTCAGTGTCACATGCGACTAGCACATGGTGTGTGAAAGAACACATTCATGAATGCAGACCACATGGTCATACACTCAGGAATCAAGTGTTAGATGGTATCTGCTGATATTTGCCCATGTCTCAAGTGCAAAGTAGGGTTCTGTATGTTTAAGTACTTTAGGGCAAGCAAATGACTACAATATTCAAGTGCAAATGTCAGCCTATTCCCCAGAGAGTGAGAGACAGATAGTTGTACGCATGATGGTATGATAAGAGAGGAGAAACATGTAGGAGCAGTGAGGGAGGCTGGGAGAGAGAGATAGACAAGATGGAAAAAAAGAAAAAAAGAAAGAAGACAGGAGGTGATAGCAAAGGAAAATGGCTGCCTACCAAAGCCTTCTTAGTGACATTTCCAGATAGGTAAATAACTAGGATGTGGGGGGAAAAAAGCAACCACAAGAAGTGTCAGCCGGCTGCCACCATTTGGGAGCAGAGCCAT